AGAATACGGTAGACTGAGCCTTCATTTTCAAAGCCGACCAGAATTCCAATGTCACCGGTGTTACCAAGCTTCCAACTTCGGTGAGATTTAGGAACCGCGATGTATGCCTTGCATCCAAACGTTTTGAGGTGATGACAAGGAGCTTCCGATTTTGTCCACATCTGATATGGAGTGGAAGGACGAGAGGGAGTAGACAGCATATTGGAGATGAATGTAGCTGTATTGACAGCCTCGGCCCAATAGTTTTTCGGAAGGCTGCTGGTCAAGAGGAGACATCTGGCTTTGTCCAGAATCGTGCGATTTGCGCGTTCCGCAAAACCGTTCAATTCAGGTGTTTCAGCGGGGGAGAAAGTTTGGAGAATTCCCCTCCTCGCGGCAAAATTTTTGAATTTTTCATTCAAGAACTTGCCACCCTGATCCGAGACAACCTCCTTGACCGATCGTTCTTGAAGGTTTTCCACCAACGTCACAAAACGCTCAAATTCCTCAAAAGCTTGAGACTTTGCCTTCAAAAATCGAACAAATTTGAAAGATGAGTATTGATCGACTATGGTGAGAAAATATTTGAAACCAGACAAGGAGGGAGGATTGATAGGTCCCACAAGATCCATATGTAATCGCTGAAGAGTGAACTGAGTAGGGGAGAAATGACTAGGAAAAGGAATAAGAGTCATCTTTGAACAATTACACACCTCACACAGTGCCCCATCTTCAGAGACGGCTAGGCCCATAGTTTTCATGACTTGATCTGATGGATGTCCGAGTCGATGATGCCACAAGTTGTGATCGTTCTTCTTTTCAGTGACAAAGGCTTTTGAACAACATGTGTATTGTGAGTGAAGAAGATTATCAATAACTTCTCTGGAGAAAATTGATCCGGAGTCGTCAGATATGTCAAAGGAATTGGCCGTCGTAGTGATTTTGACGGAATTCTTGATGAGTCGAACAAGAGATATGAGTTGTTGCGAAATGTTCGGAACAAGCAGGCAGTCAACAAGAGTAACGACTCTGCCCCCGGTGAAAATTTCCGCAGTACCGTGACCAGATGCGAATAGAGGGGTGTCTGGGTTTCCTGTTTTGATGGAGATCTTCTCATTAGTTAAATCCGAGAAAGCACTCCGATTACGAAGCATGTGATGAGATGCAGCTGAATCAATGACAATGCTTTCGATTTTGTTATCAGAGACATAAGACACAAAAGTTGACGCTTGAGCAAAACTTGCGCTCGCATTGGGATTCTTCTTGAATTGTTTGGAGGATCCGGAATTGTTTGGGCGAAGGTGAGGATACTTTTCGAAGCATCTTGGTTCGGCATGAGTGGTCGCTTCTGGATTGTGATCTCCATTGGCACAGAGATGAACTATCTTGAAAGGAAACTTCCCATTCGTTGGAATGGAAGTGGAGGTCGACACAAGAGCGGTTGCCTGATCCGAATCTTTCTTAGATCCTTTATGAGTCAACCAAGTCTGAAGCGCATCCAGAACCAAGTAAGGGGATGAAGTACAGTCCTCGGACATGGCACAGTTGTCCACGATCTTGTCAAGCTTGTTGTCGCGCATGAGTTTCCCAAGCACGAGATAAGAGATAATATCCAGAGGGAGAGTGATGCCGACGGCGTCGATATCAAGAAGATGTGCTCGAGTTCGATCGATATACATATTCTTGAAGATCGCCCTTGTAGAGTTCAGCCGACCATCCCATGAACACACGCCCACGATTGATAACGGAATGTGACGCGTACTGAGAAGCGATCTTCTTCCATAGGGCAATGGGATCCAAGTCAGTGAGTGAGTTGACAACTTCATTATAACATCTGTGATTTATACGAGAGGTGATGATAGAGATTGCTTTATCGCCGGCCTCTTCGTAGGCGGTCTTCTCCTCGTCGGTAGCATCCTCAGCAATGGGCACCGTACAACATTTCCAGAGCTTTTTGCCACGAAGAAATATGAACATCCTGGAGTGCCAATTGGTGTAATTGGATCCATCCAAGACGGGTACTCCATTGGAAGCCGGCGTATCGTGTTTTTCTGTCCCAGACATCGGTCCTGCCTTAGTTTGCGTAAGAGTTCGGGTCGATGAAGTGTCGAGCTGAACAAGACTGTAAATCTGTTAATTGTCAAACTAAAGGTTTTGTATTTCTGATCAGTAAGAGCATGAAATACAATAAGAAATAATGATGAGAAAAATAAAAAGAAGATTGTACCTAAAGGCAGGAGCAATTGAAACAAGGGACGCGATAAACAAATGCAACAAGGAAAAAGGAAATAAAGAAGAAGACGATAGGAAGAAGGATGAATGTGCTGAATATCGGCGGAAGGTCGAAAGGAAGGGGAAGCACTTAAGTCCACGAAGGAAGTGCGATGATCGGCGGAATGTCGATTAAGAAGGGAAGAAAGCGAATAGCAGTAAAGAGGAATAATGTAGTCGACTATTATCTTGCGAAAGAATATCAGAACTGAAGAATTTGTCGAGGTAAGCGGATGAATCCGAAGACTTTACAAAGAAGGAAGAGAGTCTTGAGAATGATTTTCAGGATTCATGTGGGAAGAGAAGAGCGAGCGAGTTCACGAGAGAGGTTCTCTTATGTCAGACATCACCGATGATGTCATTAGGAAAACAACTGAGAATAATGTTTATCGATGATGTCATTAGAAAATTGACTGAGAGTTATGTGATTGAGGCATTTGGAACAGTCCTGCTAGAGTTCTAGAGGGATTGAGCTCAGATCTCAACATGCATAGGCATCACATTGCATCAAGAGAGTGAGGTGGGGGCTACACATTGCAATGCTTGCATCAGATTCTTCAGTACAGAGCATCAGTATTGCATCAGCAAAGCAATGCGGTGTGATGCATTATAATTTGGTGGCATTGGTTTGCATTGCTTTCTGATACAATTCCAATGCAATGCATTGCTTTTTCAATGCAATGCATTGGTATCAAAATAATGTGCATCACTAAAACAATGTGATGGGGCCATACATGGCCATTTATTGCATCACATCACATTGTTTCACTGTTGTCTTCAGGCTGTTTTGAGATTCATTGAATTTCAAGCACTTTGTCAATAATTTTTTCCTGTGACTAAATGTCCCCTTGGATGAATCTTATTATAGGACACTTTGTCTCAACTCAATGAAGCATTACAAAAAATAAAAAAAAGCCTCAAACACTCCAGAATTAATATTTAGCTCATGTGAGGCATTTTTATTTTTTGGCTAAATTAGCTCATTTTGGCCTAATTTTTACTCCTGATTCATTTTATGAAAAAAGCCTCAGGAAATTGACCTATTTTCCACCACTCAAATTCCCAGACTTTCCTGGGTCAAAACTGGTATTGTTTGTAGTGTATATTCTACTTTGATTTTTAACTAGTTTAAAAAAGGCTCTCCCTTGGTGTCCCTGTGGGACTCTCTGCTCAGGAGAGGCTTATGATGCATAAATTCAATATTTTGGCTGGCACAGGAGGTATTTTCAGTACAAAAATCAAGTGATACTCAATCCAAAACTATTGTGCTACTTGCAAACAAATCTGAACAGAGAAAAAGGTAGCCCTAATCCTTGCACACATTCTGAACAATCGAGCAGACCTTTATCTCAAATAGAAATAAATTTAGGTTCAAAAGAAGGCAAGAAGATAACAGTCTTCTATCAAAAGCAGAGAACAGAAACCACTGGACTCTGAATATTAATCCACAAATTAGCATGTATATGGATGCAATAAGCAGCCTGACTTGGTCTGTGGATTCTACAGATGTATCAGCCACATGAATCCTAGATTCAAAAGGACTGTTTTCCAGAATAAACTTGTGCCATAGGTGTGAGCTCATTTCCAATTTTATTGATCTTCAATCTCCATTTTTGGGAGTCCTTTAACCCAGCCCCTATATTTAGAGTTAGAGATGGTCACTTTGCATCCAGATATCCACCCAAAATTTCAGCAGAATCACACATCTGCATTGTTGAGTGAGACACAGGGATGAAGACTAAAGTTCACAGACTGAAAAGTCTTGTGACACTTGAGAGTGAGAAAATATAATGTTCTGATTCACTGAGGAAAGGAAAACTCCTGGAGCAACTTATAAGTTATATATGGGCTATATACAAGTTGTTAGTGTTCTGGATTGAAGCGTACTACATATTGAACATAAGCATATTCCAACACGCATCCACATCTGTTACTGGTCAATAATCATCAGCTGGAAGGATAACCTTCCAGCAGATTGATATTCTTTCTTTTTCTTTTTTTCCAAAAAAAGAAGAAGAAAAAAACCCGGGCCCCCCTCGGCCTAGAGAGGCAGAGGACACACCATTGGGAGGGGTTCCTCCCGGCAAGCTTTATTGTGTACTAGCTTGCCGGGAGGGTTCCCTTCCAACAAGCTGGTATGTACACCAGCTTTTCAGGTTATCCCAGCGCGTCGGGAGGGGTTTCTCCCGGCAAGCTGGATTGTGTACCAGCTTGCCGGAAGGAACCCCTCCCGATGGGCTGGGATAAATACCACCTCATCAGAAGGGATTCCTTCTGACAAGCTGGTGTACATATCACCTAGAGATGGCAATGGGTACCCGTTTGCGGGTACCTGTTCTCCGGAGCGGGTACCCGTCCGCGGGTGCTGGGTGTTGAGTTTTGGGACAAAAAACGGCAGGTACCCGGGTACCCACCTTGACACCCGCCCTGGGAATGAAGTTTTGGGCGTGTTGGGCTGCACCAGGGTGTCAGCAACCCATGTAGGACACCAGTTGGTGTCCTACATGGGCCTGTTGAGGCGAGACTGTACACTGTCTCAATGGCCGGAGGGATTGCTTTGTTATACCTCATTGATTGGAAGGATTTCCTTCAGATCAATGAGGTACAACAACCCCATCAACCAGAAGGAATCCTTCCGGTCGATGAGGTTGTTATGCCTCATCAATTGGAAGGATTTCCTTCAGATTGATGAGGTATAACAACCCCATTGACCGGAAGGAATTCCTTGCGATAGATGAGGTGGAACAGCCTCATTGACCGGAAGGAATACCTTGAAGTAGGAGTTTTTTGACTGGTTGCGAAAAATGCACCATGCTTAACTCGGTTGGATTGTTGGATATTGACAGCATCAGACCCTTTTTCTTGAGCTTAATTTGGGTGTTGGTACCTGGCCATTTATATTTTGAGCCAGGTACAGCAAGGGCTTGATCTGTGTTTAGACATAAATTAATCTGATTAGTGTACATTGTCTTGAATAAAAGCTTGTGTTGATAGATCAACTCACTGTACATCTCCCCTAGTTTGTTAGAAATATAATGATGATTTTTAGCTAGATCACCTGAGGAAATTTGCAAAGAGAGGGAAAAAATATTAATACTTGATTGACTTGCATGAGAAAAGATAGTATTCAAGCTCACCCTCACACGCATCTTGATTTTCAGCACAACCATTATCTCGCTCTTCAGGAGGTTGGTTGTTGTTCCCAGATCCCAAGTTTCCAGAGTTGCTGTCGTGTTTGGGATTGGAGTTGTTGTTCGAGGCATTGTTTGCCTTGGATTGCTTACAAACAGTACTAACAACAGGACCAGCAATCTGTTTAGTCACTTTTTTTCGGCTCTTGGTTCCAGCAGTCCAGACTGCAAATCTTGATATTGGATCGCCTTCATCCAGAAGCCCTCGCAGAAAAACATCGCCAAGCAAACTTCCCCCTTGAAAAAAATACGGTTGGCGATGGTCTTGATCCGCAATGATTAGGAAACCTTCAAGACCAAGAGCATCACTGATCTCCTTCAGCTGATAGACAGATGAGAATGTGTCAGCAATTGAAGAAGGGACTAGGCTGAGAAATTCTAAATACCTTGAGCTGTACTCCCCTGGCCCACGTGTCTACATTTGCAAGAAGCTTTTTGTTGGACTGGTGTCTGACATCAAACTGATCTCGTTCATTAATGTTTGGATCATCGCTGAGGTCGGCATCAACCCATTGGTCTTCGCTGTTGTTGTTCAGGAGGTCTCGATCTGCTGCATTGAGCTGATTATAGCTCTTTGCGACTTCCTTGTTTCGCTGACCGATATTGTTCTCAGCTGGATGAAAGTAAACATTAGTGATCAGCGTGACATTTCAGAAAAAATCAGGCACAGATGGCTACCTACTTTGGTGGTATTCCTTTTGTGCTGTCTGTCCAGACGATTGAAATTTGTGCCACGCACTTTTCTTCTGCCGGGTTCGACGTTGTCCGAGATACTTTGCGAGACCCTTGAAAGGTCGCTGATGCTTGAGCGATAGCAAATGGAGTTTTCGTTGATATTCAAAGTATACATCTTGAGCAGCTATCTTGATTTCTTCATTCAATCGAGTATATTTCACGTGCGTCTTCTGGAGTTTTCGAAGCTGATGTAGGGTGTGATCTTTGAAGCTATCCATGACTTCATCAGAGAGCTTGGTATCTTTTTTACGAGGTTTTGGGGTGCCAGTGGGGGTTTCTGGAGATGCCAAAGTAGGATCTGTGTTTGAGTTGACAGCCGAAGTATTACTGGTGTGTGATTCAGCCGATTGAACCACTGTTGAGACTGGTGCATCAGTACTAGTGGTGGCTGCAGACTTTCTTTTCCGCTTTTGTTTTTTCGGTTGGGTGGTGGGGATCACAGCCGTGGTCGGAGTAGCGGCAGGATGCTGAGAATTCAAAACAGAAGAGTTGCCCGGTGGTGGTGGTGGGATGGGTGTAGTTTGATTTACCGAGATCTGGTCAATGAGAGGGGATGGCACAGGTGAATGGCCATTATACATCGGTGCTTGTTTATGTGGAGTTGAGGTGGCCATTTGTTGGCTTATGAACTGTTGAGACGGATGGCCAGAGATTCCAGAGCATGCCAATCAAGGTCCGTGCTGAGAGCTCCAGGCGGTGTTTGGGTTGCTTAACATTGAATTCACACCGTGATCATGGTTGATTCCGTCTTGCTGGGTTGATATTTGGATATCGCTGTAGTAAGTTTGATCCATGTAAGAGTTCGATAAACTTTGATATCCAGAGCTTCCAAGATCAATAAGAGTATTGTATTCGGACTGATGGAGCCCGGAGTTGTTGTAGGATTGATCATATGGCTGCATGGCTGATGGATGGACAAATTTTGAAGAGTCTACCAAGGAGTCGTGTTCGGGGCGGACAAAAAGTGGATGCTGGGCGGGGGTCAGGCGCGTGTCAGAACAAGGTATGAGTTATTACACCAAGCATGTAGATACATATTGAAGTTAGTGAGGTCGGTAAGTCTTACTGAGTGTTTAGCTTTGGAGTCCTCCCGGTGTGAGCCTCCCTGGTTCGAGGGCTGTACTCTGAATTTTTTTTCAGGGGTGGGAGGTTGCGGGATTGCGGGATCGGGATTGGGAGCGGGATTGTATCCCAAACCACCGATTCTGCACTACAGGAGTGAATTCGCATGCATTTCTTACTGCACTTCCTTAGTGTAAAGTAGTTAGGTCTAAAGGTCGACGCACTGTTGGTCAGGATTCAGACATCAGGAGTTCCTGTGTTGACTCATGACTCGTTCAACAATGACTGATGGCGCTTGTTGACTCAAGGAAGGACATGAGTCATGTCGTAGGAACTGAATAGATGATAGGTGGCAAAGTCTGTCTATCTACATATAACTAAAAAAATAGCCTCAGAGGGCCAAACAAACCGTCAGGCTTGAATAGTGCTTTCTATTGATTTCTCATGCGGCTTCTAACGCCGGCGTCGATATTTCACATTTCAATGTCATTTCTGACATTCACTAAGACCTTACAATCATAGCGACCTTCAAAATCGAAGGCTATTACACCATAGGACCTTAAACAAGTAAAACCCCCAACATCCGGGGCAAAAACAAGCAGCCTCCCCAAATTTGGGGGCATATACTAGTGTAGTATAAATTATAATCAAGGCAAGCAGAATTAATGCGACGCTATTAATCTCCATTTATAACTACACCCGCATTTACGTAAGATGAGCAACGAGATGACGGATGAGAGAATGCACTGTGCAGTCGCAGAGGTGAGCGACCCTAGCTGGGTGCTATGAAATCTGAACTGAACTGCTTTGTTGGAAGGGTCGCCGCTCTACCTGCTTTGGAGACTTTATAAAGCCCGTCGACGCGGCCAGTCCCGACAGAGCAGACCCTTACTGCAGCCTTCCAAAGAATCCCTCAACCAAAGAATCCCCCAACCAAGGAATCCCTCATATCGCAAACCCTTCTTCATACCTATTATTTTCGCGATTTGTATCATCAAGATGCTTCAACTAGCGGCATCGCGCTTGATCATGCTTTTCCCCTTACTCTTAGTAGCCCTACAAAGTAGCGCCAAACCAACGCCGACTGAAGGATTAGTAAGCTTGCACACAAGCAACCGAATTCAGATCTGTCTTGTCCTTTGATAGTGTAGCTAATTCTTTTTATCCTTGACCTTCCTTCTGAATTTAGCTCGTCTGTAGTGGATCCGCACCGGTGGGGAAGATTGCGCCCAGCAGCGGTGCCTACTATGCCATCTCGGATACTCCTCATAACGCCAGTGGAAAGTGCAGCTGCGATCACTCGACCGGTCGGCTTGACTGTGCGGTTGCTCCCAAGTTCCCGATATCCACCCCACAGGGTCCTGCTGTTTGCCAATCTCCAGGTAAAAAAACTTGTGACAGTTCAAACATAGTGAGTCTAACTTGCCAATTGATCACAAATCGAGATAAGAGAAGAAACGAAAGCTGAATGCAAGCAATTCGATTTATTATTTCACAGTTTCTGTGCCAGTCTGGCAAGCTAATCGGTAGCTTGAATTCAGAAGGAGGTTTTTCCGTCACCGGTCAATCCGACAAAGCCAGCGGTTATTGTCAATGCGATGCCAGAGGGAAGGAATGGCTGCTCCGATGTCCCGATTACCCTACCTCAAGTTCTTTCTCTCAGTTCACAAAAAAACACATCGACTGTTCGAAGAAAGATGATTGCTCGGGGCTTTGAAGCCAACTCAAACGGACCATATTTCTTCAGTTTCTATTTTATCTCTTTCTCACTCTGGTACTGCACACACATGACCAGTCGGGATTGTCTTCTGCAAAAGTTGTACTTGTATAGCAATCACAAAAAAATAGACACTTTCTCATTAACAAAATCCACACGGAGAAATTTAATCTGGTTTATTTCTTGCGATTCTTGGCATTGCTTTGGGTTCCACCCACCCGAACCGCTCTTTGGGTCAGAAGCTTAGATTCGCCGGGAGACTGTCCTGCAGACCTCCCTGTTCGCCCCAGTGAATTTTGCGCTTCAATTTTGCTTCTCTGGTGTCTCTGACGTCCACAAGATCAGGAGAGCCGTTTGCAGGTTACCATCCCGCGGTGGTATTACATATGTCCTCAAAACCCACTGGCGCAACAGTGACACACTGCCAAGACTGGGAAAATACCATGGCGACTTATTTAGGTTCTTAGAGAGATCGCCAATTCAGACGCTACGAGACGTGGGCTCAGTTCTTTACTTGATTTAACCAAAGCAGTAGATGAACGGTGGAATTTCCCAGTTATATTTCGGAGGTCCAAATTTTCGGGCGGTTTGCGGGGTTTTCCGGACGAGACCTAACGTGGAGCGGGCTTCTGAGAAAACCCATACACGGAGAGAGCGGTGCCGACCAGTCTTGACCGGCTCATCATTTCTCACTCTAATAAAGTCTCTTGTAAGGCGAGATTCATGGCGACTCCTTCCGCAAAACTATGTCAAGGCCGTGTTTGATCTCGCGTAGACTGACTCGGCGGAGTCGGCCTTATGAACTATGTGCTTAACGAGGCCTCGCCCTACAGCCTAAGTGCTTTGTCTTTAGTCCGCGCAGGAAAAAAGGGAACACTTGTGTTACGTTCGTATTGACTATAATGGCATATGATCACAACTGCGTTCCCTTCTTTGTGACAATTACCATGAAGTTTGAAACAGGTCTTCGTACTTCCCCCAGCTTACCCCACTTTAACCGAGCCATTATGTACGTCCCATTTCTGATCGGTAAGTTCAGAACCTGGTACGACGTGACGGGATACGGTTGACTCAGAGGCATCAGTGTTTCTTGTGGATTTATAAATTTGTTTTGACGAGCGGGCGGGGTTTGCTCATGACGGGAGGATGTAAAATGTAAAATGTATCGCCAAGAAATTTGGTCCTGTGGCAAGTTCAGTCACTGGTTTCCTGCGCAAAATAATTGGCCCTCAGCTTCAGTTCCAGGTGTACTTGCCTCAAGCCATAATCATATTTTCAGCTCATTACCTCTTCTCTTACATCGTCCCGCTCAACATCGCATGTATGAAGGCAAGTTTCAATAGTTTGGCTCAGAGTGGCTGAATGGATAGCGGAAAACAACTTCCGCTTAATTTAAGAAGGCTTCACGGCGCTTGCTATTTTGTAACAGCTTTGCAGGGTTTTCCAGATGGCACTCGATGTGTAGCAGCTTACCGGGAAAAAGAAGTAATGATGAATTATTTACCGGAATACGCAGTTCGGCTGGATGCATCCACTCATGCTTTTCGGATCGAATTGTGTCCTGATCATGTATGCCAACTTGAGTTCTAGTGATCTGGTGTCACGTTGACACTGCCATCAATAGTCGGGTCTGAGACACTTGAACCTACGCGGGAGCCCGTCCGACCAGCATGCCGCACAAAATATAAACAAGTGCTGGGGGTGTCGGTCGAACGAGAGACAGGAGGAAAAATACTAGAGCTGGTCAAGATACGGATCTTTTTGAGTCGGATCGCTCCGGTGTCACTCCCGGGCGGGTGAGGGACAAAAACAAAAAAGTACGCACTGTCGGACTTTCATTCCTGGTGTCTAGTTACATTGATGAATACAGAAGCTAGCTTTAGATTATCTCGTGGTCAATGAAGTAACGGGAGAAATCCTATCTTGGATGTTGCTTGCCAAGGTGCGCCGAGCTGATGCTCTTCGGTCACACATCACAAGCCCATTTTTATTGCTCAGTATCTGCGTGTAGCCGATCTGTTCGGGCCTCAACTTCTGTTTTGTACCGTCTAAACATGTAACAATGCCTCCTGTGAGCCTAAGGCGAGATCCGCAGGGGTCTCCCTCCGGTGGGCTTGTGACAAGTTTGTGTTAGACCTTGCGCAGACATCGTGTTATGATCACAACTGCCCATACTTGATCGTGATCACAGTCATTTCAACATGTACTTGATACGCGGTGCCTACCTACGTGGAAATTATCACGCAGTTGGATTGGTAAGGTGATTTCAGAGTAATATTCGACTTTTCTTGCGGGGTTTTTGATGGTTTTGACGAGGAGGTGGGGATTGCTGACGACGAGAGGATATGTACGCTGAATATCACCAGGCAGTGCAGTATTGTCGAAGGTTCTGGCAAAATGACTGGCCGACCCTGCTAAACATATCGTCTATAAATACCAGGGTTGAAAAGTGGAATTCATTCAGTTTGTCCCTGCCAGAATCCCCACCCTAAATCAGCCAGTTTCCAATACTAATAGTTACTTTCCAAACTATTCTCCTCATCTTCATTTTTCATGTCTACTTTCTTGGGATTACGAAAGACAGTTTTACTAGCTCTATGCTGTTTGCAAGTAGCTCAAAGCTTGCCCGTAGAAAACGGTCACGCTGCCAGTCAACTCAAGGATGGTGTGGACTTCTCTATCTAGCTGCTGTCCTATTAAATGTTATAGAACCTTGAATTGACCACCGATTTGAAAATAACAAAATAACCTCTGTTTGCATCTGAAATATCAGGTAACTTGGACATTGGAAAAGCTGTGATTGACCCCCAGGATGTTTCTGCTAGATTGGAGACAAATGGGCTCAATAAGATTGATGAGAAATCCACTGGAATAAGCTCTTCTGGACAACAATCAAAAAATGAAACTGGTAGATTGGCAAAAATAGGCAAGCACCAATCCGACCCCAGTGGTATGGAAGGGTTCTACACACTTAAATCTTTGCATTTTTCACAGAAAATTTAGATACCCAGGGAAATCAAGAAGAAATTGATGGTATTTTTATTTGATACCAAATATAATCATGCAAGAAATTAGCACTGCTAACCAGTTTGTTTTGTATGGCATAGCCTGGAAATCGGCCCAAGAAACATTCCACAAATACTTTGAAAATATCTACCCCTCTGGGTTAGAACCAACATGTAAGTAAGGAATGTAGTTAAAGAACAAATTTCATTCATCCTATATTTACAGCATTAATATATTTTTCTTTTTTCAAAAATCAAATGTTATCCAAATGATAGCAAAATCAGTGGATGTGGTGGTGAAAAATCTCAAGAATTTAAGGCTCATGTTTGCACTTGAAATGGGAAAATTTTTGAACAATCCAATGACAAAGGAACATCAAGAGAATTTGAATTTTTTGAAGGATTTTCAAGAATTAATGCAAATTCATGAGCTGATATTACCTCATGCAGAGAACATTGTTACTAAATTTGGTGGAGACAAATCAATAATCAATTATTATTTTAAGCCACAGGATATTCCCAACCTGATTTACTATTGGTATGTATCTACTCCCACAAGGGAAAACACAAAGTATCATTACTTTACAGATAGCTATGCTGGTATTCCATATGGAAATTTTTACACAGCAGAAAGTCCCCATTCTGTCAGTTTCTTCTTTGATTTGATGCAGAGCTGTCAATAAATTGGAACCAATAAAAGCTAGATAAGTTCAATCTGACACAACTGCTTTTCTTTCCAGGGATTTGTTCCCTCAATATCAGTTGCCAAACCACTTGATCAGGAACAGGAAAAGAATATTTCATACCAGGATATTTTAAAGTTAAAAATTGATGCAGTTACTCCCAAGACATCAAATCCAACTACTTCTAGGGAATTGGCTGGAAGACTTTCACATATGATGCACAGGATTAAATTGGGTAACACTGAGAAATATGCATCTGATGAGATAGCTCTCAAACACAGAGATTCCATAAGTCATGCAATTTTACACTTAATTGATTTTATGACTATATATGGTTTGATAGATTTGGAGGATTGGAGAAACTTCTATTCTTATTTGCATGAGGAACTGGCTGAAGAACTAAAGGAAGAAGGACTAGGGGTGGATAAACTAGAAGCCAAGACAACAGAGGAAAACCCAGAAAAATAAGCAGATGATCAGACATAAAATATGCCAAGGAAAAAAAAGTATTGAAAGGAAGAAAGGAAAAAATGTTGGGAAAACAAGAGGGAATTCACTACTCTGGATAAGCAAACCCTATTGAAATAAATGATTATTACCTTGTTATTTTTCTCTCTTGTACTTTGAAATTCTCTGAATCTTTCTTACATTCTTTTTTGGGTTCAATGTTATATATTCACCTTCTTGGTTTACTTTGGGCATATCTCAGGTTCAATTTGGGTTTTTGTTGAAATTCTGATACTATTTTTTACTCACACCAAAAATCACTTACATTATTGATCTCATCACCTGATTTTCTAATTCATTATAGTCTGTTTTTAGCCTAGTTATGTATGTCTGACCCCCTTCTTGTAGTCAAAGAACCCTGAAGAAAAAGGGCTTATCAGCTCTCTAGCTAAAACTTATCTTCTTGTCTGTGAACTCTCTTGTTGATGCATGTCATATTGAATTGATTTCTTTTTCTTTCTTATTCATTTTCTCAACCACATCTTGATCAATCTTGTACATAGTATATTTAAACTGACTAAGTTACAAGAAATGATCACTATTGGTTCTTCTTCATTCTAAACCTTGAAATCCTCAGAGCCCCCCGTGAGTTTATCAATAAAAGACCGGTCACTCACTCTCTCTGCTCATTGGCGGTCATAATTTCTTCAGTTTTTAATTTTCTTAAGTTTATTTCTTCTTTCTCTCTGGATATACTTTCTCCATCTGTTTCTTGTAGTTCTTGTCTGGGTTTACCAACTATTTTCTATTCAGTTTTGGATTTATTGAACTATCAACTCAATGACCAGCATTCATTTTGTGTTGTTGTGTGGGGGGGGGTCTATGGTTTGCTATCAAGTTGGTGTCTAGTTCTTGGTTTGTATCTGGGTCTCTTATATTTGGGTTTTGTGTTGTTATTTAGAATTTATATCTCTCTCATTCTTCATCTTCCAACCTATAACATTGGGAAACTTTTCAAGTTGTTTATCAACCAAATTTTAGAAATTTGACAAGGTGAGCATAAACAATCAGAAAATCTTTTTTCATCTTTCTCAAAGATTTTGATAAATAATTGAAATTCAATTGGCTTGCAAATTTGTGAAATTTTGATCATGAGTGGCTCTCACTGCAATAAAAGGCCACACAACTGTGTTCAGTTGACCTGTGATTTTACAAAGGCACATTTTTAATATGTTATTTCAACTGCAAGCACACAAATTTTTCTTGCAGTGTCTAATGACTGTTTTGTATGACCAGAGGAAACCTCATCTGGTGCAAGATGATCTCTGTGGTCCCTCATGCTCTGTAGTCAACTATTGATTGGCCTGAATTTAATTTAGCTGATATTTAGCATGATTGAGTGGTTTCCTATTACAGCTCAAGCTAACAGGCTAAAACTTGAGGGGCTTGGCTCTATGGTACACCAAACAATCTTGGTTGAGATGCTACACTATTCAAAAATATCACCAAACTGGTGGATCTTGACATGCAGAGTACTCCAAATGTAACTCCTATCATACTTTAATCTCTTCCAATGTAAGGATTTCAGCACATTGACTTTGCAAGATTTACAATGAGCGTGCATTGAAGTATGGCTGCGGACCACAGAATTTTAAGAGAGATTATGCATGTAAACTGGCAGCAGTTCTGTGAGATTCTTTCACAGTGTTACATTTTCATCACAGCAAACACATTGAAGAGATTCAGAACTGATGAACATGAGAAATACAACAAATAAAGTGCTATGATATTTCCCTTTGAAAGAATTTCCCTAATGTGGCAGAAGTTGAACAGGAGTGTTGATCAATGGACACCCACACCCACACAAATTCCTTGGGACATGCAAAAAACAAACCCTTTCATTTGGTGAAGACTTTCCAAAAAAAGACATGGCTTGCTATGATCTAAGATTGGGCTCCCAGACCAAATTCATGTTGACTGGGTCCATCAATACATTGCATCTTTGTTGCAAAATATCCGTGGGCCCAGCCATATAGCATTGGTCTGGGAGACCAATCTATATTGGTTGCCTACATTCAACCTTACGGTTGGGGTTTGTAACTGATACACCCCTTTTCAAAGTTTCTACAATTTCACACTGTGTGACTATTCTACTTGTACTTCAAATTGGTTTAACAAAGCCTCTCCCTTGGTGTCCTTGGGACTCTCTTGGCTGGAAATGGAGGGATTTTCAAGACAAAAATCACTTAATACTCAATACAAAAATATTGTGCTACTTGAAACCAAATCTGAACAGAGAAAACTGTAGCTTAGCCCTGATCCTTGCGCACATTCTGAACAATTGAGCAGACTTTTATCCCAATTGTAGGTAACTTGAGGTTCAAAAGAAAACAGGAAATAACCATCTTCTATATTCACAAGAAAAGCAGAGAAACCACTGGAGTCTGAAGATCAATCTGCAGATTTGCATGGTTATAGATGCAATCAGTAGCCTTACCGGGTCTTTGGATCACCTGTCACCCATGTGACTCCTGGATTCAAAAGTTTTTTTTCCAAAATAAACTTGTGTTAGATTTTAAACAACTAAGAGCATTTTATTACTGATTAGAGCTATGGTCTTTGATTTGAGTTGATATTTACAAGGAACAAAATTGATAACATGAGAAATAAAATGTACCTAAGAGCAGAACAAGTTTTTGTGCTTCTTGGCTAATTAAGGAAATGCTGTTTTGGTGCTTCCATTAACAGCTAGTTTGGAGACTGGTCTGAGATAGAGAAAGTAAGACAAGATGAGATCAACGGTGGGCCAGTTACACTAATTGTAGTGTTAGTGCAGTGTAGTGTTAGATTTTTAAGCTACGCTACACAAAAGTTACGTTAGTGGGAATTTCGCGACGACTAACACTACAGGATTTTGAAAAAAAATACTT